CCCCCCCCCCCCCCTGCACACACAGCCCCTCAGCTCGGTGACTGCGACCCGATCGCCCACAAGTGCCGGCTGCCGTACCCGAACAACTTCTACCTGGAGCCCGCCTCGGCCAGCTGGTCGCACACCGGCTTCAAGCTGCGCCTGCGCGAGTCCATGATGCCGGCCGACCAGCGCGGGGACAAGTTCGTCCCCGCGCCGTGGGCCACGCTGGATGGGTTTTCCCCCATGCCGCAGATCATCACCTACCTCGGGGACGTGTCGCTCGAGGGGGTGGTCGGCCACCGGGACATCGAGCAATCCCTCAGCCCCGGGGCCAAGGTGGTCCTGCTGGACGCCGACACCGGCGAGGTGGTCCCCAGCTGGGCCGAGATCGACCAGAGCAACGCCGCCAACGAGCCGCTCCAGGAGCGCGGCTTCCTCATCTGGGCGGCCGGCGCTCTGAAGCACGAGCGCCGGTACATCGTGGCAATTCGCGATGTTCTGTCTGCCTCCACTCGCCGGCCGCTGCCGCCGACCGCCGGCTTCCGGGCCCTGCGTGACAAGCTGCCCTCCGAGGACAGCGACATCGAGCTCCGCCGCGAGCACTTCGAGCGCGATGTCTTCGGCCCGCTCGCGCGCGCCGGCATCCGCCGCGAGAACCTCCAGCAGGCGTGGGACTTCACCGTGGCCTCGCAGCACTCGCTGACCGGGCGCGCGCGCCACATGCGCGATGACGCCCTGTCCCGCATCCCGGCCTCCGGCATCGACTACACCATCGTCTCGGTGCATGACAACCCGGCGGAGAACATCGCCCGCGAGATCGTCGGTCGCATGCGCATCCCCAACTACCTGGACGAGCCGAAGCCCGGCGCCTCGCTGGTCATCGACCCGGACACCGACCTGCCGGTCTTCCAGCAGTTTGTCGATGTCAAGTTCACCATGCGCATTCCCACCATCCTGGCGGAGGAGCAGCGCGCCGGGGCCATTCTCCAGTATGGCCATGGGCTGTTCGGCAGCCAGGGCCAGATCGGCGGCAGCTGGCTCGCCCGCATCGCCAACACCTATGGGTATGTCCTGCTGGCCGTCGACTGGCAGGGCATGGCCAGCCCCGATGTGCCGGCCGTCACCCGCATGCTGGCCACCGACATCGGCCAGTTCAACATCCTCCCCGACCGCCTCTCCCAGGGCATCACCAACGCCGTTCTTTCCATGCGGGTGCGCCGGCGCTTCTGCCTCTTTCTCTGCCTCTGTCTCTGCCCCTCCCCCCTCCTCACGTGTGTCGTGTCCCCTATCGCCATCCCTGCTCACTTTTGTCACCTCCGATCGCCCTGCCCTGCCCTGCTCTCCCCTTCACCCACCACCCCCGCGCACAGATGGCCATGACCAGCCTGTCCAATGACGAGGTTGTCAAGTATGGCGGCGTGTCCGTCCTCAAGACCAACAAGCTCTACTACTATGGCAATAGCCAGGGCGGCATCCTGGGCAACAAGTACGCTCCCATGTGCCACACCGCGGACCGTGTCGCTCGCCTGCCAGCCGGCTTTTGCAGCTCGCGCCACTGACCCCTCCCCCCCCCCCCCCCCCCCCCCCCGGCCCACGGAAACACAGCTACATGGCCCTCAGCCCCTGGGTCCACCGTGGTTGCCTCGATGTGCCGGGCGCCCCGTACTCCATGATGCTCCTGCGCTCGGTGGACTTCGACCCGTACTACGCCATCCTGACCAGCCGCTACCCCAAGAGCATCGACGTCACCTGGCTCCTGACCCTCATGGGCCAGGCGTGGGACCGCGCCGAGCCGGCCGGCTACGTGAACAGCCTCAGCGGCGAGATCCCCACCCTCATGCCCCCGGGCGCGACCGCCCCGGCCAAGCGCATGCTCTATCACTACAGCCTCGGCGATGCCCAGGTCTCTTGGCTCTCGGCCCAGGCCAACAACCGCGCTGTCGGCGGCCGCGTCTTCCGCGGCCACATGCCCGAGTACAATGAGACCGTCTTCGGCGACCTCATCCCCGGCACCTCGACCAATGAGTACAGCGTGGCCGTCGGCTATGACTACGGCGTCCCCCCGGCCCCGGAGGAGAACATCCCCCCGCCCAAGGAGTACGACACCCACTCGTACACCCGCAAGGACCCGGTCGTCAACCAGCAGATGGCCGACTTCTTTGCCACCGGCTTCATCCATGATGTCTGCGGCTCCGACAGCTCCGGCTGCCGCCGGCCCATCCCCACCTCGGTCCAGCCCCTGCCCCAGCTGTCGGCCACTTACGACCGCCATGGTGGCGGCCGCGCTGTCGGTCGGCTGGTCGTCGATGAGGGTGACTATTAAATGTGTTGCTCCCCGACGTCGTGCCGTCCCCACGGCTCCGCGTCCATATGCCCGCCCGTGCTGCTCCGTCACCATGCCCGGTGCCGGCCTCATGTGCCAGTGCCGCCCCCCCCGGTGAGATGGCCCTTCGGGAAGGGGTTGGGCACAGTTTGCCCGCCCCACTCGCCACTCGGCTGGCGGGCCTGCACCCTTCCTGCGCACAATGCCACGCACAGGACCAGAGTGCGGCATATCCAATACACCCCCGTGTGCCTGGCTTTCCGTTCCCCGCTTGTTGAGTCCCGCCCGATGCATTGGCTGGTGAGGGGTGCGGGTGCGCCGGAGGCCAGCACCGTTTATTGTTGTCTATGGTTGTGTGGTGTGCCCCGGTCCCTGTGTAACGGGGGGCGGGGCGGCAGCAAGAGAAAGGACATGGGCCCAGCCCCCCGTGGGTTTCACTCACGACTGGGACGTGTCCAGCAGGACGGAAATCTGCTCGTACGCCAGCAACGTGAGCGAGCTCTGGGGGAGAACGCGCAACAGAGCCGGCCCCAGGCCGCGGTACAGCCCAGTCACTCCGTTGGCACTAGATTGACGATCGCGTTAGCACATGGACTCCCGCGGGAGGCGGGAAGAAGAAGGGCGGCCTCCGGAACGGGGGCACGGGCCTGGAACGCACACGAAGATCTCCCGAAGGAGGGTCGAGATCTTGAGGTGCTTCACACGCTCGCGCTGCAAAGGGGAACCCGGGCCCGCCAGGGGGGAGACACAGAGAGGGAGTGTGAGGTTGCTGCGCGAGGGCATGGGTTGGACTGGCGGCGGGGCGCACCTGCAGGTGGGTTTTCACCAGCTGAATCGGATAGGTGGAGACCACGGCAACCACCTTGCTGACCGAGGCACACAGCAGCTGATCGGTTGCGCTCTGGCAAAAGGAGAAGAGTGTTAGCACGCCGGGCTGGCCCAACTCCGGGGAAGGGGGACAGCGAGACGGGCAGCGGCCCTGGGTGACGCACAAGACGCTGGCCCGGGGCACCGAAGCGGAAGACGCTGACGTGGCGCTTGAGCGGCTCATACACGCCAAACTGCACCGCGCCATGGGCCGACCCGAGTAGGGCCATGCCAAATCCACGGTACAGCCCGCGCAGGCCCTCATTCCGAGCGATAGACAAAAGGGCAGCTGGCGCAGAGAGGGAGGAGATGGGAAACAGCGTGCAAGGTCAGCGGCGAGGCAGTCGCGACAGGGTCATGCTCGGGCTGGGGCCCACATTCGAGGCTCCAAGCCGGGGCGAGCCCAGCATGCTCCACGCACAAGAGACGCTGGAGTAGGCCGGCGGCCCGCCAGCCGATGGGTGCTGCTGCACACACATCCGGGTCTTCACCACCCAGATGGGGTTGGTCATGAGGGAGGTGGTCATGCCTGGGAAGGGGGGGGGGGGGCGAGGGGAGGAGGCCCGGTGGTCAGAAAATAAAAAAGCACAGGGAGCCCCGAAGGATGGCCCAAACGCACCGGCCAAAGCCGAGGCGCCCATCGTCTGCAGGGGCGTCAGGAAGACCTGATCCTGGCCGGTCGTCGACGAGTAGGCCGGGACCGCATCCGGGGCGATGAGGCGCTGGTAAAAGGAGTACCTGGATGCGCGTGCGTGCCGGACCGGCGGCAGCAGCATGTCAGTCAGCGAGTCTCAGTGAAGTCACGCGGCGAGCGCAGCACCATGGCTGCCGCGCACCAGCCAAAGTACAGCCCCCACGAGAGGGAAGTCCCGATGATGGAGGGGGTCAGGCCGGAGTAGAAAGCCCGGAATCCTTCGTTCGCCAAGATCCCTCGGGCCGTCCTGAGGGAGGACGTGTAGCCGGAGCTGACTACCGGAGGGCAAGCGCACCAGGAGGCATTAGTGACCAGGGGGACCGACCGGCGGACATCATTTCGCGCCTCCACAAGGGGAGGGGGGGGGGGGGCAGGAGGAGGGCGCGGGCTCGCGCATGGTTCACCCAGACGCACCCTGCATGCGGGTCTTCAAGAAATCCAGCGGGTGAAGGAGCAGCGTGGTTGAGGCGCCCGCCGTCAGGCCGGATAGCGACTGGTGCAAGGCCGTTGACCCAAAGAAGGAGGGGGCAGTCGCTTGCCCGGTGTCGGGAGAGGGGTCCCGAGTCGGGGAGCCATCATCGGGACGGGTGGCCGGCGGTGTCCCGGCATCCCGGGTAGTGGATGAGGAGGGGAGCATGCGCGCTCGCTCGGGGGCAAAAAAAAAAAAGAGGGCGGGGGAGCAGGAAAAAGATGGAGGAGGAGGAGGCGCATATGCTGACTAGAGCACCCAGCCCTGGCGCCCCACGGTGGTCCTTGATATCCCCCTCCCGAGAGGAACAAGCATATATTAACGATAAAATGTATTAAGGTTATTTATATTTTAGAATTATGACAACAGAGCTATAGTGTTTTAAAATCACAATAAAAACAGATTTCTGGCACTTCTTTGCCATAAAGTCTTCTACTGTTATCAATCAAAATGCTTTTGTTACATACAGACTTTGTGCACTTTTATGTAATATATTGGACCTGTTATCATCGTTAGCCATTTGGAGGACCTTTTTTTAGCCACGCACCACCTGCCCGCCCTCTCCCCCCCACACCGCCAAACCCCGAGTCGCCCTTGCCCGCCTGTTGCTTGCCCTCATGTTGCCTCTCCCCATCGGTGTGCCGGATGTCTCGGTCCAAGGCAGGATCTCGGTGGATTACTCTTCGATGACAAGCGATCTCCAAGACACCAGGCATCTCTCCCCCGTGAGCCCTTTGGAGGTCCTGAGGCTCGGCCCAAACGCCCGGCGGTAGATCCGTCCGATGGCGCCGTCATGCTTGCCCAAGCCCCTCCAAACGGTGGCCGATCGACCCGCGCCCATGACACCAAACGGTCATGTTGCCGGTCTCGGGGCGCCCTGCGTCGAGCCAAGACTCGCCCGGCAGGGCCCTCGCCCTGGTGCTCGCGTGTGGCGTCAATTTGCCGATTGCCTCTCCAGCAACTACAAACCATCCCCCCTCGCTGCTCCCCTGCGGGTATTGGTCCTTCGGCCAGGCCCTTCGGCAGCTCGGGCTTCCCCGGGCCAGGGGCATACCTCGATCGGCCAGCCATGTCCCCCTCCCTCCCGGCCCCCCTCGATGATCCGCCGATCTGGGCCTCATGTCGCCGCACTGGCGCCGGCCAGGCGACGCCTCCCCGCCTGGGGTCGGGTGCGCCGGCCTGGGATTCCGGGCGCTGGAGCCACCGATCCCATGCTGCCGTGAGGACGATGGCCGGAGGTCAAAAAGACGCTTCTCCGGCGCATTCATCGCCGCCGTCCTGTCCGGCTGCCTGCCTGCATGTCTGCCTGTCACGCCTCCGCTGCCCCATTGCCCGACGTCACGCGCCACCGAGAGGACCACCCTGCCAAGCAGATGCACCCCCCGGCTTGTCCCCTCCCCTGTCCGCTCTTCCAACTGGCCCAGCGCCCGATCATGCATGTGTCTATGGGGGGGTGTATTGCCTCCGAGAGGAGGGCCAAGGAGGGGGCGCCTCCCGTTCAAAGGGTGCCGTCCTGGAAGGCCAGCTGGCTGCCGATGCTGAACGAGCCAATGTGGTGGAGCTGCTTCTTGGCGATGTGGCCGGTGCTGGTGGCCGGGGCATCCGGGACAAAGTCCCCGCCGCTCGGGTCGCTGGAGGCCAGATCGAAGAGAGCAGCCAGAAGATCGCGGCTGACTCCCAGCGCACAAGCCGCCGGCCAAAGGAGATGAGCCACGCCAATGGAGTGGCCATTGGCGTATGCCGATCGAAGATGCGCCAGATAGGCGGGCAGAATTTCCCTGTTCCAACAAAGACAAACAACGTCGCGAGGGAGAGAGACAGAGAGAGAGAGAGAGAGAGAGAGAGAGAGAGAGAGAGAGAGAGAGAGAGAGAGAGGGAGGGAAGGAGGCACGGCCGGTCAGTCAGGGAGCATGTACACGTGGGCGAGGACACCGAGAGGGAAAGGGGCGGAGGGCGGGGGAAGGCAAGCGCCCAGGGGGGACGGCGTACGCCGAGAAGCCACACAGGCACAGCCGGGCCAGCAGCGCCCAGTAGGATTTGGAGATGGAGTGATGCATGTACTCCGGCGAGTCGGGGCCCGGGCCGGCCAGGGTGGTGCCGAGGAAAAGCCGCGCGACGAAGGGCATCAGCGCAAGGACCGGGCCGGCCAGCACCCGGCACGTCTCGGCCATGCTCAGGACGCCATCCGTCTCGGAGATGGCCACCAACAGGGGCAGCCGCCAGGCCGTCTGGGCAAGGGCCACGTCGGAGACCGGCGCGGCCGGCGCCCCCACGGCCGGCGGCGTTCCCCGCAGCGGCAGATACCCATGGACCTGGCCCTCCGGCACCAGGGCCATGCAGCAGAACAGAAGGACCTTGTCCAGGTCGGCCAGATCGCGCCCAGCGGGACGGGCCTCCTCCGCGAGCAGGGCCTCCGGCGCGTCGGCCAGCACACGCGCCAGCCGGCCAGGGCTCACCCGGCCGAAGGTCCGCCCGAGCATGGTCAGCAACATGGCCACGGCGGCCAGACGCGCGCGCGGGTTGTCGGTCAGTCGCGGCGGACCGGCCCCCGGGCCGCCGACCGGCCGTACGAACGCCGCATTGGCCACCTGGTAAAAGCGATGCAGGCAGTCATGGCTCAGGGTCTCCGGCGGGGCGGGATGCTCGGACGTGGGAGCCGGCGAGCCGAGCGACGCCGCCAGCCCGGCCATCCGCCCGGGCTCCTCGGCCAGCCCGGCGAAGATGGTCGCCACCTCGAACTCCAACGGGGTGGACGGGCGCAGGGAGGCCGCCATCGGGCCGGCATCCAGCCTGCCCGGGGCCAAGCCCAGGAAGGCGCACAGGCCGGCCAGCGGCTGGACATGCGGCAGAAGGGTGGCCAGATCCGCCAGCTGGGAGGCCGCCTTCTCCGTGGCCTGCTGGTGCTCCTCCAGCTCGAACTGATGGTCCGAGCAGTTGACTCCCCGGGGGGCATGCTTGCCGCGGTCGCGGTCGCGCTCCCGGTCGCGGTCGCGCTCCCGGTCACGGTCGCGGTCGCGCTCACGATCGCGCTCGCGCCGTGGGAAGCGCCTTTCCCCGGGAGATGACACATCGCCAGAGCGCCGCCCGGCCTTGGTGGGCCGTCCATCCGGGCCGAAGAGCCGCGCTTCACGGCGGTCAGAGCCCTCATCGCGACGGTCGGCCCCCGAGCGTGCAGCGCCCTCGGGCTGCTTCAGCGCATGACGGCCGGGACGATGCTTGACACTGGGGGAGGCAGGCTCCGGGGCTGCGGCAGGCTCCGGGGCTGCGGCAGGAACGTCGGGGCTCGCGGGAATGGCGGTGGCGTCGGCATCGGCGGCTCCGCCGGTTCCGGCGGCGTCGACCTCGGGAACGGCGGTCCCGGCTGCCGTGCTGGCGGTCGTGGCAGACTCCGAGTCGGCGAGGGCCCTGCCCTCCGGCAGCGGGGAATCCTGACCGGCGTCGGCCATCGGTGCGTCGCCAGGCGGCGCATCACTCGGCAGAGCATCATCCTCGGTGTCCATGCCGTCATCGGAATCCTCATCATCCCCGGAGGAGGCATCACTGCCGGATCCGGCAGCGGCTTCCTTGGCGTCGGTTTCCTCCTCGCCACTTGATGTGGAGGAATCGGACGAATCGTCCGACGCCTCGGACCCGTCCGAGGAGTCACCCTCCACGCCGGGGGTCGCCTCGGAGGCGGGCTTGGCGGGCTCCTCCTCTGGCTCGGAATCAGACCCCGAGTCGGAGTCACCTCCGGACCCCGAGTCGGAGCCCGTCTCCTCGGCCGTGAGACCGGCCTCGGCCTCGGCCTCGGCCTCGGAAAGGCCGCCCGCCTCGCTGTCCTCCAGCGTCGAGCCCTCGTCCTGGTGGTCCTCCTCATCCAGAGCACCGCGGGACCGGTCGACGTCTCCGCCATGCTGGGCGGACAAAGTCCCAGACGCCGAGCGCCAGGGCGAGTGACGCCGGGCGGCCACCAGCAAGGAACCCCGCGACCGGGCCCCCAGCTCGGTGGTCCGTCGCCCGGAGGACACGGCAATCAGCCGGCGCACGGCCTCACGACGTTGGCGCCCGAGCACCGGCATCACTCGGCTCCGGACAAGCCACCGCTGCCACGCATGCCGGCTCATCAGCGAGGGGGTCTGCGAGGGGCCCCAGAGGGAATAGTGCGCGGTCCGGTAGGCCGCAGGCCCATAGGCGCGCGCCTTCAGCGTGGCCACCCCGCCCCCGGCCCCGGAGCCGGAGCCCGACGCGACGACATCCTCATTCAGGCTGAAAGCCCGAACCAGGATGCCCTGCAGGCGATTGACACCGAGCTGCTCGGCGCTGCCCGAGTGCGACACCGCTCGCCCATACTCGTACAGCAGCTGCGACAGGCGCGTAATGTAGGTTGTGATCTCCACCAGACGCTGATGCCCGGCCTCGTGGGGCGGCTCATCCAGCAGCGACCGCAGTCGGGCAATCAGCCCGGGGAAGGGCCGGAAGCAACGAACCAGGATGCTGTCCATCGAGGCCAGGATGTCGTCGAAGCGCTCGCGAATGGCCCCGCGCCCGAAGCGCAGCACCACCGACACAAAGAGCCGGACAATGCTCAGCAGCTGCAGGGCCTGGGTGCGCCCGGCGGTGCCGAGCTCACTGGTCCCCGGGACGTCGGCCTTCCGGCCATCGGCCCCGGTGGCTCCCCCGGGGCCGGAGGTCGCTCCGGGCCCGGAGGAGGCCCCCGTGGCCAGGGCCGGCCCGACCAGCGACGCAGCCGACGTGGCCGATGTCAAGAGCTCGTCATCGATGGACCCCAAAATGGCACTGGCATCGGCCAGCGCCCGGATCACCGGCAGCGGGCTGTGCGTGGCGAAGGCCGCCAGCAGGGCCAGCGCCCGGAGCGACCGGTCCCAGGCCTGCTGCTCGGAGCCAGCCCCTCCGGGGGTGCCCGGCGACCCGGCCACACCGGCCGCCAGGACATCATGCTCGGTGCTGAAGGAGGTGGCACTCTGGACCAGGATGTGTGCCAGGGTCGAGAGAGCCGAATCATGGTGCAGTGCCGTCGAGGAGAAGGGCGCCAGGCCCATGCGGAAGGAGGCCGGCGCCGCGCGCGGGAAGCCCAACGCCCCGATCTCCGCCAGCAGCCGGTCCAGCAGTTGCAAGCTGAAAACCATGGACGGGCCATGGACCGTCTGGTTGATGCGCTGCAGGCGCTGCAACGACTCCTCCAGCAGGCCGGCCGTCCCGGGCGGCGCCCCGCCAAGGCTGATGACCCGCCGGGAGGCGTCGCCCTCCCCGTCGGCGAGTTGCCGCCGCTGCTGCTGCTGCTTCTCCGTCGCCCAGGGAGCCCTCGGCGTGGCCGAGGTCATGGTCAGGTCCCAGGCGAAGAGCATCGGCCCGGAAATGCACAGCGCCTGGCGCAGGCTCTCCAAATACCCGATGACCAGCTGCACCCCGGCCTGGAAGAGGTCGGCACGCGCACGACCCGGAGACCGAGCCGTCGTCGACGGAGCGGCCACCCAGCCGGCCGCCGGGTCGGCCAGCGGCAGGAGGGCCAGCACTTCGGCCAGCTGCCGCGCCGCCTCGCGACAGGACAATGTCAGCGACGTCGGGGCCGGCCGCTCGCCGGCCGCATGCAGGGCCGACGGCTGCGAGTACTCCAGCACCAGAGACCACAGGAGCAAGTCCGCTAGGCGGACCAGCCAAACGGACAGATGCCCCCCGGGCCCGGGGTCCGGCGACCGGACCACCGTGGCGGCCAGCAGCCGGCGCACGCGCCCGGCCGACCAGCCAGCCAATGCCGACAGCAGACCCTGCAGAAGGACCCCGGGCGGGGGAAGGCGCTCTTCCACATAGAAGCGCCTGTTCCACGGGGCATACAGCATGTCGCGTGCGTGCAGGTAGAACCCCGGCAGGTCGATCAATTCCAAGGAAACCTCCCCCAGCCGGGATGCCTGCCAGATGGTTGCCACCAGGGATGGGGCCAAGTGGGGCACCTGCAAGTACAGTTCCCCTGACAGCAAGCGCCCAAGAAGGAGAACCGCGTCGGCGGCCGACCGCGTCACCCCGGCCCCGGCATACGACAGGAAGCGGCCCAGCGCGACGCCGGTCAGCCGCGAGTCGAACGGCGAATGGGCCGCCACAGCCGGGTCGACCTCGTCTTCCGGGGCACCGGACACCGCATTGGGCTTGGCCCCGGACTGTAAGGTGGCCAATTGGTTGGCCCCCAGATCGACCGATGTGCTGATGTCCTCCGATGTCGGGGGGAAGCTCTCGGCCCAGCGGGCGGCCGCGGCCGGCTCGGCCCGGAAGGGCTCCTCGCGGCCCGGCACCGACACAGCGACGGCCGGCCCGGTCCGCGTGGCCAGCGACGCCAGCAGCGAGTCCAGCAGGCCGGGCTGCTGCTCAAAGTCCAGGGCCACCCTCGGGGCCGAGGGGGTCTTGTGCGGGGCTGCCACGGTCAGCATGCCGCCGGTCCACCGGCCCACGGCACGCGGCCGCTCCGGAACCGAGGCCACAGACCCAGGCGTCCCGCCCAGCGCCCCGGTCGCCCAAGCCAAGAACCCCGGGCCCAGGGACCCCAGGCGGGCCAGGATGTGCTGGCCCGAGGACCCGGCAGCGGCCGAACGCAATACCCCCGCCAGGGGGGCCAGCTTGGCTTCCGGAGCCGGGCTGGCACCGACCAGCCCCTCCAGCAGGGCCACCGCCGCCTGGCCAACCGGCAGCCCCGGGCACCCGCCCACCGACGGGACATCCAGCCAGGAGGCCAGCAGGATCTCCGGCGAAATGTCCCCAAAGATACCGCTCCCCGAGGCCCCGGGGATCGTGGCCACCGGCGAGCAGAAGACCCCATGCAGGAGCCCCCGCACGGCCGGCTCGCCGGGCAGACCCGGCTCATGGGTGCGTGCCAGACTCAGCAGCTCGAGCAGGGCTTCGCCGAAATCCGGCCCCGGGTCGGCCATCGGCCGGAGGTGGGCATCGCACCCGAGCGAAGCCACGGCCGGCGCCTCGGCCAGCAAGGCCCGAAGGAAGAGCGGCCGGGCCTGCTGCATGGTGGCCAGCGTGCGGACCGCGGCCGAGGCCCATGTCGCCGGGGTCCGCCGAGCGGCCGGCAACAATGACCGCAGCAGCGACCGGGCCAACAGAACACCGCTTTCGCCCGGCAACGCGGCCAGCAGCAGCGGGGCCAGTGGCTCGTCCGCCAAAAGCCGCCCCAGCACACGACGCTCTTCCGATCTCCTGCTGCATGGTGGCCAGCGTGCGGACCGCGGCCGAGGCCCATGTCGCCGGGGTCCGCCGAGCGGCCGGCAACAATGACCGCAGCAGCGACCGGGCCAACAGAACACCGCTTTCGCCCGGCAACGCGGCCAGCAGCAGCGGGGCCAGTGGCTCGTCCGCCAAAAGCCGCCCCAGCAGCCCCACCAACACCGGCCCCTCCAGGGGGACCTGGTCCTCGGCGAAGCCGGACCCCGGGGCCCGGATGGCCTCACGCAGGGTGGCCAGTGCCGAGGAAACGTCGGCAAAGCGGCCCGGCCGGCTCAGGTAGCCGGCCAATGCATCGTCGAGCCCGGCCCACTCGGGCGGCGCACCGGAGGCCTGGAGTCCAGGCAGCACAGCCTCGCGGGCCAGACACAGGACCCGGTAGATGCCCGTCCGGCAGGCGGATGACGGCGTGGCCAAGATCGGAAGAGCACACGTTGGCCAGTGCCGAGGAAACGTCGGCAAAGCGGCCCGGCCGGCTCAGGTAGCCGGCCAATGCATCGTCGAGCCCGGCCCACTCGGGCGGCGCACCGGAGGCCTGGAGTCCAGGCAGCACAGCCTCGCGGGCCAGACACAGGACCCGGTAGATGCCCGTCCGGCAGGCGGATGACGGCGTGGCCAGTAGGTGGAACAGCAGCCGCACCAGCAGTAGGGCCGACTGCGCGCGGCCGGGAACCGGTGAGTGCGCGATGTCCGAGCACAGCCGCGACACGGGCCCCACGCAGGCGGTGATATTCTGTGTCGAGAAGGGAGGCCCACGACCAGAGCCCGTGCCAATATGACCAGCACCGGGGAAGGCAAGCGGGTCAGAAGCCAGGCGAAGGGACGAGCATGAGAGAGAGAGAGAGAGAGAGCGAGAGAGGGCGCGCGCGGAGAGGGGGGAGGGGGCAAGAGGGAGAACAGCGAGAACAGGAGGGGAGCCGGAATGAATGACAAGCGGAAGAAGCGAGCACGAGGCAAACGCACATGCTGGGCGGCAGCGATGAGGGTGGCCCCGGCCAGAGGGACGTCCGCCCAAAGGGCCAGCTGGCTGGAGTGCTCCGACGAGAGGACCTCCACAGCCAGGTCGGCCGACAGGCGGGCAGGCCCCTCGCCAGTGCCAGGCGCCAGGAGCAGCCCCGCCGACAGCAGAGCGCCCGGGGCTGCCAGGAGCCAGTGTAGCTGGTCGGCCGGCGGCAGGCGCAGATCCTCCCCGAGGGACGCGCGCAGGATCTGGCCACAGAGCCACGGCGACGCGGCCAGCCGCGCACCGAGGGCCAGTCGCGGATCGAGCAGGCGCTCGGCCTCCGGCGCGGGGACAGGCGAGGCCCCGGCCCCGGCGGCGTCCAAGTCAACCGGACTCAGGAGCATGGCCAGCGGCGGGCCAATCGGCCCGGTGGCCGGGACCGACACGCTGACCGCCGCCGCGTCGGCGGCCAGCTCCGAGGCCAGGAGCCGACGCGAGCGCTTCAAGGATCGACGCTGCGCCTCGGACAGGGGAAGGCCCTCGGCATCCAGGTCGGCCACCTGCTCCCCGGCCGCCGAGTGGGTGTACGCGTCCAGCTGCTGGCGCAGGCGCCCGGACAGCAGGTCCCCCAACAGTCGCCGGACCAGGGGCAGCTCCCAAAGTGCCGGGCCCGCCGCCAGGGGGCTCAGCGAGGCCAGCAGAAGGACCACCCGCAAGGCCGGCCAGGTGGTCTGCCGCGCGGAGGCCGCCCCCGGTAGGCCGCAGCCCAGCAGCGTGGAGATCTGCCCCGGCTGGAGGGTCAAGTCCAGCGGGCTCACCCGGCGCCGGTACTCGGCAAACCGGCCAACCGGGCTGCCAACCGGGCCCTCCCCGGCCGGAGCCAGGCGCGGGAGCTCGCCGGCCGATGCCGCGCCGCGCCGCAGCAACACCCGCACCGCCAGCTCCTCCAGCAGATCCAGCATCAGGGCCGACGCGCACAAGGGCGAGTCCAGCAACACCACGAAGACGCGCTCGTCGACTGACACCTCGGCCAACAGGCTGCCAGACAGCCATTCCGGGGCCAGGACCGTGCGCAGCCAGTCGAATGCCGCCCGCGCGGGGATCTTCTCCTCGCCCGGGGTGGCATTGGCGGCGGTGGCGGGGCCCTCGGCGGCCCCGACCCGCAGGCGCAAATACGTGTTCGCCGGCCCGGCGCCGGTGCTGGCACTGGCGCCGGCGTCGACACCGGCACCGGCACCGGCACCGGCTTCGAGGCCGACAAAGCCCCGGTTCAGCAGCCCGACAATGAGGCCGAGCGCTCGGAGGGACAAGCCAGCCGCTCGGGCCAGCATGTCGGCCCGCATGCCGGCCGGCACCGGGGGCAGGCTATGCGTGACCGGCAACGCGGGAACCTGCTGGCGGAAGAGCTCGGCCGCCCGCTCGGACACCGGGCCCAGCAGGCGCGCCAGGCCCATGGTGAACAAGCGCAAGAGGATGGGGATGACGGTCGACAGGGCGCAAGTCCCCCCGGAGAAAGTCGCCTCCGGGCAGTGGAACAGCCCCTCGGCGATGTCGGCCACATGCAGGGCCCCCTGGAGGAAGGCCCCCTCCAGGGCCCCCAACTGGGCCGCCTGCGGGGGATACGACCCGGGCAGGAAGTCCACCACCTGGCGGAAGCGCTCCGGCCAGCCGTCGGCCAAATCCCCCGGGCGGTGGAGGATGGCCCGTTGCAGCAGGGCCCCGAAGGAGCCCGCGCAGCCGGCATGCCCGAAAGCCAAATGCAGCATGGACAGCAGGTGGTCCGGCGCCGTGGTCGACGGCGACATGGGAGACAGGGCGGGCCCGCCGCCGACCGGCACCGGGCCACTTGCCGCCGCCGCCGCCGCCGCCTCGCCCGTTCCCTGCAGCAGGAACAGCTCGCCAAAGAGGAGCTCCACCAGCCGCCGTGCGGAGGCGGGGTCCCGGCTGATCACACGCTGAACCGCGTCCACCTGGGCCGGCACCAGGGCCGGCGGGCAGCGCAGGGTGGCCAGCGCATGGAAGAGCTCGCCCACCGGCCCGGCACCGGGCTCCTGGCCGCCGGCCGGCGTGGCCATTGTCGCCGCCGCCGCCGCCGCCGCCGCCGCCGCCGCGAAGGTCTCCGTCAGCCGGGCGAAAAGCTCCCGCAAGGGGGGATGACACACCCGCCGGCCGGCGGCCATGGCCAAATACGGAATAAGGGCCGCCTGGATGTCGGGATACCGCGTGCACAGGGCCGCCAGCCGCACGACATTCCCATGCTGCGGGGCGTCGGGGCGTGCCCCGGCCCCGGCCACGGCCCCGGTCCGGGGGTCAGCCGGCGCCTCCGGCGGGAAGAGCTGCCGCAAGGCCCCCGGCAGGGTGTGCTGCAGGTGTGCATGCACGGCGGCCGAGGCCGCCGGGCTGGTGTACCGCCCGGCCGCCGGGGCCACCACCCAATTGTAGGTGGCCGCACCGAGGTCCGTCGCGGTGGGAACGCCAGCCTGAGGGTCGCTCGGCAGCAGGAAGGCAGTGGCCACCTCGGCCAGGAAGCGCTGCGCCCCGGGCAGGTCGGTCCACACCCGGTCCCCGAGCAGATCGGCCACCACGATGTCCACGAAGTCCAATGGCCAGTCCGAAGGGGCGTCCTCCCAGGCAGCCTGGAACACCTGCGCCACCAACACCACCAGCCAGGGATTGGGCCGGACCTACGTCGGCCCGGGCGCCGCAGGGCCGCGTGACAGGGTCATCAGGACAAGGGGAAGGGCGGTCAGTACAAGGCGAGGGCCGAGCAGGACGGGAGAAAGGGCGGCCGGGAGGGGGGCGGGGGGCCATAAAGAAGACCATAAAACTTGAGGAGGAGGACAGATAGAAGAGAGGCGAGAGAGAGAGACAATCCGGGCAATGTGCGTGGGGGGGGGGGGATCCAGCCAAAAAGGGGCAGCCCGGGGGAGCCGGTGGGTACCACAATGTGCAGCATGTAGCGCGGGTCAAAGCAGGCCACCAGCGCGCGGTGCACCTCGGCCGTGCGGAACACCTGCGGCAGGTCGCGCGCCAGCTGCAGCAGCCCCGCGACAACATGGTCCTGGCTCTGCTTGGTCAGGGAGTCCCGCAGGAACAGCACAAACCCGGCCAGGGTGCGGGCGGCCTCATCGGCCAAGGCCTCACCCGGCCCGGCGGCCTCGCCGGGACCGGGCCACAGCTGTGCCGCAGCCCCCGAGTCCAGGCCCGGGAAGGAGAACCCCTCGGCCGTGGCCCGCTGCAGCAGGGAGGTGGTCTGCGCGAGGGTCTGGTCAAAGCGGCTGCGGATCTCGGCCGCCGTGACACGCTTCTGCACAATCGGCGCATCGGTCTCAGCCGACATGGGGGACGGCGCGGGGGAGGGCACTCGGCCCGGGTCCGGGGCCGGCCCGGCGCCGTCCTGTCACACGATTCCACATTCGGGTGGGGCGCACGCGCGCGCGGGGGGGGGGGGCGGGTTAGGCGGCGAGAAGGCTGCCAGCCGTGCGTGCGCGCATTCGCACCTTGACAACCCGGCGAAGGCTCCGCCGCATGGTGGGTGTCTTGCGGAGGGGGGCGAGCGCTCGGAGTCCGGTCGGCGCCGACCGGCCACAAGAGGAAGAGAAAGGGGAGAGGGGGGGTGCGTGCCTGGGGCAGACCCGGCAGGGAGGGCAAAAGTAGGCTGTGGTGTGGGTGGGGGTGGGGCGTGCGTGCGTGCGTGCGTGCGCGTGTGTGCGTGCGGGAGGGGGGGGGGGGGGGGGGAGGGAGCGTGCGTGCGTATGTGCGCGCCGGCGGGCGGAAGCGAGCGGATGGACAAGTCAACGGGCAAGCGAGTAGGGAGATCGTTGCTGTCCCTGGTCGCCGGCCGCGCCCGGGCGGGAGGGCGCCCGCTCGAAAGGGCCCGCTCCCGGGGGCCCGTGCGCGGGGCCCCGCCCCCGCCGAGTCGCGCAAGCGCGGCATCTAGCGGGCCGGCGGGGCGGCGGCGACTACCCGACTGCCGACGCATCCGGCGGCGGCCTCCGTTGGCACTCGCCGATCGCCCCGCCTCCCTCCCCCACGCCATTCTGATGATACGGCGCCGTGCTGGCGGGCCATGCCGGGGCGCGGGCGGATCGGGCCCCGGGCCCTGTCTGTGATCTCCCCCGGCGCCCGGGCCAAGGGACCGGGACAGCATGCCAGGGGGGAGGGGGGGACTCTGAAGGGCCGGCGCAGCCCCGGCGGGCGGCAGGCCGTGTGTGACCAATGCGTCCCCCCCCCTTCCTCTCCTGCCGCCCCAGCCCATCATTTCTGCTCTGCTTTCCTGCCCCCCCCCCCCCCCCCCCTCCGCCCCTCTCAGCCTTCAGTCGCCCGAATGTCCGCCCCCACCCCAAAGATCGCCCCCGCGCGTCACACCCTCCTGGTCCTGTCGGGCAAGGGCGGCGTCGGGAAGAGCTCCACCTCGGTGCTGCTTGCCCGGTGTCTGGCCGCCCAGGGCTTCCGCGTGGGCCTGCTCGATGTGGACCTGTGCGGCCCGAGCATCCCGACCATGCTTGGCTTGACGGCCAGCTCGGTGCGGCGCTCGCCGGCCGGGTGCGTTCCCCCACGGTCGCAGGGGCCGAGATCTTGCTGCTTCTTTCTCTTCCCCTGCTGCTCTCCTCTCCCGCGCTCACACACGCCCTCGTCGCACGTGCTGGCCAGCTGGATCCCCGTCTTCGCGGACGAGGCCCAGCGCCTGTCGGTCATGTCGATCGGCTTCATCCTGCCCGGGCGCGATGACCCGGTCATCTGGCGCGGCCCGAAGAAGACCGGTGCGCCGTGCCAGTGTCCAGTGCTTTGCATTTGCCTCGCCTGCTGCTGGGGCCCTCCCTCGGTGACGCGCCCGTCCCCTAATCTCCCCCCCCCCCCGCCTCCCTTCCCCCGTCGACGCCGGACAGCCATGATCCACCAGTTCCTCAGCGAGGTGTCCTGGGGTCCGCTGGACTTCCTCATCATCGACACCCCGCCCGGGACCTCGGACGAGCACCTGGCCGTGCTGGAGGCGCTGACGGCCGCCTCGCCGGAGGCGGCCGAGGCCGGTGCCCGGCCGTACCACATCGACGGCGCGGTCATCGTTTCTACTCCGCAGCTGGTGGCCCTGGACGATGCGCGCAAGGAGATCTCCTTCTGCCGGACTGTGTCGATCCCGGTGCTCGGCGTCATCGAGAACATGAGTGTCTTCACGTGTCCCCACTGCTCGGTGCGTCTTCGTGCGGCCTCTCGCCCTCCGGGCGGGCGGGCGATGGCCAGGCCGTCGGCCCTCCTCCCCGCGTCGCGCGAAAGCCGCACCCTCATGCCACAGGAGGCAGGCATCGGGGAAGCCCATATACTAACATGCCTGGCATCCACCATGCGCACACACACACACACACACACACACACACACAGACGTGTACGCCCGTCTTTGCTACGGGCGGGGCCGAGCGCACAGCCGCCGCCCTTGGTTGTGCCTTCCTCGGCCGCCTGCCGCTGGATCCGAGGCTGACCCGGCTGCTCGAGCGCGGGGGTGACCCCTTTGCCCCGGCGGCGGCGCCCGCGCCCGCGCCCGCGCCTGGCCAGCCCGCCGACCCGCTCAACGGCCCCCTCGGCGAGGGGACCATGACCGCCATCTCCACCACTGTGGGGGCCATCCTCCAGTCGATCGGTGTTGCCGCCCCGGCCGCCGGCCAGTGATGTGCCCCGCCTCCCCGCTCATGTGTCTGCACACACGCACGCGCGCGCGTACACACATACCAACGCGCTCGCCCACGTCTGGCCACACGGTGAATAGACACTTTTCTAGACACACCCAACATGAGTCTGCTGGGGGCACGGGGCCAGGGGGGAGGGGGGGGGGGGGGGGGCGAAGTAAGCAGCCCAAG